TCATTTATATATATTTCTTAAATATTTATTCTACAAAAATTTTTAAAGTATTTTGTATTATATTCAGTTATATTTATTTATTTTTCAATATTAGTTTTAACTTAATTAAAAAATTCCTTCAATACTTTTGAAAATATTTAGTAAAATTTTCCTTTCCATACTAAAATATTTTTTTATAACTTTTTAAGCTAGAAATATTTATAATGAATTTCTAAATATTCTACTTTTCTTAAAAATATATCATACCAATTCCTTCTTTGCATTTTCTTCTTACTTTTCTATCTATTTCATATCTTCAATCTTGATAACCGATTATTGCAATTTACATTCTCTTCATTTATTTATACATCTAGCCTCTAATAAGCCAACACCTACCCTTATCTCTCTCTCTCTATGTCTCTCTCTCTCTCTCTCTCTCTCTCTCGCTCCATACACACTCATCCTTAGCGAAGTTCTGTAGCCTCTGGTTTATCTATCGATGTATCTATCTAATCTCTTAACAATTTTCTCTACAGCACCTCAAGAGCTGAATCCTAGCGAAACAAAGCGACTAAACCCGAAACGCGTTGGGTTAAACCTCAAGGCAAACAAAGCGCCCAACTAGCTGAACTATATACAATATATATAAAATATTTATGCCACACAAAAAAGGCGAGGTTTGCAAAGAGAGAGAGAGAGAGAGAAAGAGATAGGGAGAGAAAGATGGGCTTGAATCATTAATGAAACTGGGCTTGGATTACCAAGCAGGAGATGAGTTACTGCACCGTCTGCCTCATCCTGGGGCACAGACTAAATGCACAAAAAGTGTAACAAGCGGCACACGCAGCTCGTTGCACGCTGCGCTGCTGGAAGAATAGGAGACACCCTAACGGTAATCAGCTTGGGCATCTGGACTAGCCCGGAGACTGGCTTTTGTACTGCTGTTGCTGCTGCTCTTTCGACATCGTAATCCCTGCACTTAACCCGGGTAATAAGATAAAGTAAGGCAGATCCGTTTTTCGGCTGCTTCTGCTTGTTATCTTTGTAAATTGCATGTCGAGCACTTAAGCCAATTCTCAAACTCAAACTCAACTCAACTCGAAACTGGTTAAGCGTAGCTTGCACGCGTGCTACTGCAGTGCGACCTCACAATGCGAATGCGCTGCTAAGACGTTGTGTCTGTGATACAGTTAAGCAAAATCCCCGGCAGCTATGGACCAATAATTCCAGGCCCCGAGACAAGCCAATACAATCAACACAATCAAGCCGCAACCTCGTCTTAGTCCGCAAACTGCTTTAGCGACTTAGACGAACTCCGAGGCAGAGGCAGAGGCAGAGGCTGAGGCTGCGGCTGAGTCGGACAATCAGTCCGTGTCCTGGCTGTGGCTTAGGTAAGTGGATTCATTTTGAATCCAATTCAGCAAATCCCGAGCAGCCATAGAGCGCAAATTGCAGAAATGTGTTAAGTATATAATGCGCTCATCCAAACTATTTCAATAACAAGCGGCTACTTAAGCCCAGGCCCAAATATACCCAATCAAACAATGTGCTCTACCATGCCAGACACCGTCTCCTATCCTAGCCTAACCTATCCCAGCTATATAGGTTTCCTCTTCTTTTGTGCGTTTTAATCGTACACAAAGTTCCGTGGGCTAAGTCGCTGGCTAAGCTTGGCTTCTATATGCAAAATATTGGATGGCATATGGGTTTTATCTGTGGGCCCGCAAACCAATTTAACTCTTCCATGCCGCTAAGCCGTACATAAGCCCCAAATATGCTAAACAACAAATAAACTAAAACCGAAATGCGCAAAGTTGGCTTGGATAGAGAAAAACAACTCGATTATTGTGTATTTATTATGTAAGATTATTAAAGCAGAAAATGAGATTTGTAAAAAATTGTGAAAAGAAAAGTTGAAAGATTAATATTTAAAAATATAATTCGTAAGAATGTAGAAATTATTTAAAGAGAAATACAATTTTTAAATCTTTTATTTCTACCTAATAATGATATTATTATAGATCCGACATAGCTCTCAATTTGAATATACATAGATATTAAATATTATAACGTATATAGTAGCTATATATTTATGCCTATCAGGGGCGTGGTAACTTTCAGCCTTTTAGAGACAGCAAAAATATGCAATATTATTAATCTACTTTATTGATTTACCTAAGATCATATTTAGACATATATGTATATCTCTTAGACACTTGGTAAATCGAAAAATGGAAAATCTATATAGAGAACTAATTGCAGACTGACTCTTAAGACATATGAAAAACTCTTTAACTATACATTCGTTGGCGTTTCAGCTAAAAGTATTATCAACAAAGAAATGTTCCCTTTAATATTTTATTACTCCCAATCTTCACAGGGCTTAAAGTACTGATAGCTATATATTTGAATATATCCATCTCAGCTAAGCCTTCACCTAATGTTCATATGGCAGCAACTGTCAGGCTAATTTTCGACTTACAACAACTGTTCACACTGTATCCCCCGCATGGTACAAACGAGAGTTCCCCCACTCCCCCAGTCTATGGCTTGGCACCCTATAAAACTGCCAGCTAATCGTTTCAATAACATGATTTACCAACAAACAAACCCAAAACAGACACAAAGTCCGGACAATAATTTACAATTATTGAAAATGGGATAAAATGATTGGTAAGAGAGGGGAGATGAAAAGAGAAGAAAAATATAAGATGAAAATACGAGTATGATAATTGCTACTGCAGCCGTCGCTCACTCACACAATGTGCCCCAACTGAACTGACTAACGATGTTATTAATTATCATTTTCCTAAACAAATCTAGCCAGACAGAGACGGCAAGCGAGTGAGCGAGAAGAGAGAGAGAGAGAGAGAGACGCAGAGAGTGAGAAAAGCGCAGTATTTATGATATGAGCAGGTCTTGTTAGATCAAAAACTTGTTGATGCCATCGATGGCTCTGGCCGAGCCTGATAATGATGATGATGATGTTTATTCAGATAATGTTGATGCTCCGTTTTTCTCACATGTTTCACTCAGATACGCACTTAACACACACACACATACACACAGCTGCATCTATGGCAAGTGATCAAAGCGCGTTTGCCGCTTGAAAAATTTTGGAATATTTGAAAATGAAGACATCAACATTTGGGTACGAGAACAAAAACAGTTTGAGAAATTTTGAACAACGCCTTCGCCTTGTGGAAGATCCAGAAGAAGCAGTAGAAGAAGAAGAAGCAGTCGAAGATATAAGAAAAAAGTGGCCCCTGGTTGGCATTGTCGGTGCCCTTTTTGCTAGGGTTCTCATCTTTCACTTTTACCCAGGCATATTAGTTGAAAAATTGTATAACAAAAGTTAAGAAAAATTGCTGTATTTACACACATACACACACACACTGGCATATGTGTGTGTAGGCAAATAGACGTGTGCTGCCTTAGACAATGGCCTGGCTGGAACTGGACCCCGGCGCGGAGTCCTACGAGCAAAGGTTCATAGTTGGATTACCTGCGGTGCGGGGCACAGCTGGAGTTGTCACTGGGCATGTAAAGAGCCAAGAAATTGAGACAACAACACAGCAACAACAACGACAACATCGATAACAACAGCAGCAACAACAACAACAACAACAAAGATGATCGCCCCTTTTCTCTTGCAGCGAGAAGCTTCAAACAAATCTCATGTTTGCCGCCTAATTAAGTCATCAGACAGCTAAGGGCAGCTAATAGATGAGCAAAGCGGCTAAATAATATAGGAAAATCAGTTAGATAAAAAGCTAAGAGTAGCTTGAAAATGGTTAAACACGCTACAGGTCAGCAAATAAAAGCTAGACTGAAAGTAAAGAAGCTAGAAATAAATTAAGTTCATAATAGCAATAGCTAAAAAGAGCTAGAAGTAGCTAGAAACAGCTTAAATTAGCTAGGAAAGCTGAAATTTAAAGAAATTGATAATTCAAAGTTTTTTTTTTTTTTTATATGCTTTTTATTGGTTTTGAGAATATATATATTTTTTTAGTATATTTTTATATTCTTTTTTTTTCTATAATTGCTTAGGGCTTATTTCTAATGTAGTCAACCCACAAGCCGCCAAGACGGCGTGGCAGCTGTAGCTGAATTGTTTTCTCTGCCTGGGGCGCTGCTACTCAATTGCTAGCCAAATAGCTAACCGGCTGTCCAGGCCGGCGCTGGTCACAAAAAATTATTTGATTTTTTTGCTAAATGCATCATTTAGACGTCAAAGGGGATTTTGTGCGCGGCTCCTTGCTGTTGACAACGATGACGACGACGACGACGATGGTGACGGCGGCGACGGCGGCTTTATCAAAGCCTTGTCCCATTAAACCAAAACGCTGGGCGTGGCAAGCAGCCGTGAACGCCTTAGCTGGCCGGAAACTTGCCAAAGAACTGCATGCGTTGAAAGAGCTCGGCATTCATGTGTGCGCCCGGATAGCCCTGCAGCTGTGGATGGGCGGCAGCGGGTGCGCTGTGTTGTGGCGGTGGTGCAGCAGACGGTTGATACTGCATCTGGGGCTGGCCATAGCCAGCCATCGCAGCAGCAGCAGCAGCCGCCTGATAGGCAGCCGGATTCATGCGCTGATACAAAGCAGCGGCGGCGGCAGCAGCAGCGGCGCCAGCAAAGGGCATGCCCGGATAGCCGTAGCCAGCGGGTGCACCATAGCCGCCGGCTAGCATGGGCGAGAAGATGGCCTGGCGGTAAGCGGCGAGGCGGGTGCGGCTGGCACCCGGATTCTTGCGGCGCAGCTTGCCCGTGGTCTCACCAATGAACACCTCCTCGGCAGAGGGGTCCAGAATCCAGTAGTTGCCCTTGCCGGGATCATCGTAGCTGCGCGGGATCTTGGTGAAGCATTTATTCAAGCTCAAATTGTGGCGTATGGAGTTCTGCCAGCCACGCTTGTTGGCCTTGAAGTAGGGGAAGCGATTGATCAGGTACTGGTAGATGCCATTCAGGGTCAGACGCTGCTCGGGACTGTCTTGGATGGCCATCATGATGAGCGCATTGTAGCTGTAGGGCGGCTTCTTGTTGTCATTGCTGCCAGTGCTGGTCTTTTGCTTTTTGCTGGGATTGCCGGCCAGTTCGCTGCTGCCATCACTTTCCTCTCCGTCCAGCTCGATGTCCTCATCGTCGAATTCCTCCACATCCAGTTTATCATTATGCTGCGATGACAGCGATTCGGCAGCGCTGCTCATCGGTGTGCTGGTGCGAGAGGGGCTGTCGAAATCTTCGGATGCTGATAGCTCACCATCCGAGTTGGCATATGGATGATATGGCTGCTGGTGATGTGGCATGGGCTCGTGCTTGATCACTGGAGCTGTGGGTTTCTTAGCCAAGATGGCATCGATGGAGAAATTGCTTTTGAATTCCATTTCGCAGACACTTTTCACCATTTCTTTTCTGTTTCTTGTAAGTCTTTATAAATAGTTGCTGTTCAAATTGCTTTGATATTTTTCTCAAACGGAACACACGAGTTTTGCTGTAACTGTTTCGTTGTGAACGTTGCAATGCGTAGCTCAATACTGACTCTCCATAGCTGCGCAGCCCACTATTTATACCGAATGCCTCTCACGAAAATCCACACGCACACAACCAAACACACACACGCACACGAACGCATGCGCTCAGAGAGCGCGCTGTGTTAGGTAGACGGCGAGCATAGACTCCGCCTCTCGCACAAACCGGTTTGGCTGACCATTTTGTTCCACTTGCCATCCACACACAAACACAGGCACACACACATGCGCATGCCCCTGCTCCGCTGTTTGTTTTTGTTGCTGTTGCCGTTTGTTTTGGAACTTGTGGATGTTTATTTGCAGCCCTTTGCTTGGTTCGGCGTCAAAATATCCATTACATCCAATCCAAACAGGGGTTGCACGCCGCTCTCTGCTTGTAGGCGTATGGCTATCGCTAGCTCTCTCCCTCCATCTCACTCTCTCTTTCTAACTGCAGCCCCTTGTTTTGATTTGGCATATAGCACAGTTAATTGCTACAAAATAAAAATATTAAATACTACTGCAACCGCAGCAACATCAGAAAAAGCAGCAGAGTCGCATTTTAATCAAAAAATAAATTCGTGGAATATTCTCTTAATCCAGTTGAGAAATTAGTTCAGTTCGAGTTGCTGGATTTTCGCTCTATCTTTCTCGCTTTGTCCTTGTCGGCGGGATTACTTGACAATCCCACATTGGCTTAACATTTTGGCCGATTTGCGCTGATTTGCAACAGCTCAATGGAGCTCAAGTGGCAGGTAATCCCCTTGCCCAAGTAAAGGGTTAAGCATGGGCCAAGCATCGTCTGCCAGGATTTGTTCTACTTTCGCAGAAGATTATTAAATCGCGCTTCTCGAGAACTATGTGTGTGCTTGGTCAAGCGTTGAATTTGATATGGTTATGGCAAATGGATCCAAGTAAATATTTGCCAGATGCACAGACTTAAAGGCAAAGCTCTAGTCGCTGACTTTGTAACAGATTTGCAAAAGGAGTCGAGGATTTCTAATATATAGAAATAGATATATATA